AAAAAAAAAAAAAAAAAAAAAAAAAAAACAGCGCAACGCGTTTTGTGCCATTGTTCTGTTTCGTTTTTGTCTAATAAGTACAATTTCGTGTTTTAAAAATATTTTCTGAAAATATATTTTAGAAAATGAACGAAACAGTTACACATTTGCTTCGTTGCTCTTTTTTTTTTTTTTCCATTTTACAAAAGATTAGCATTTGCGTTTGTTTGAGAATTTTTTTTTTTCCCAACCAATCAAGCGATTTGTATACAGAGGAAGCCAAAAAAAAAAAAAAAAAAAAAAAAAAAATGACAAAGCGGCAAAACAGCTAAATGGCACAATAAAAATTGTACAATTATGCTTATTGTACGTAAACACACAAACACAGAGCAAACGTGATGATACGAAAGGGGCGATTGTAATGAGTATGCCACCGCTCATTCAGCTCATTCCGTTCGCATCCTCTCTGTGCAGAGTTGGCATTCATGTTTTTGTTCCCTCCCGAGGAAGGCATATAGCCATAGCCCCTTGGGCGAAATGTTGTAAAGCTTCGAATCGGCAGAGTGACATGCGGAACAGGAAAAAAAAATAAAGTTACACAAAGTTAAAATAAAAAAGGAAGAATAAAAAAGAACGAAATGATGAAACGATAGTGAAACGAGAGTTGCCCAACTGGGGAATAGTCCCGTTTCCATTTCTATTTCCATCGCACATTGTTACATTTGAAAAGTTTCCCGTGTTAACAAGCTTTTTAATTAACCCAAAGTGTCTGTCATTTGTGAATTTTTTTTTTGTTTGTTTTCGTGTTGTTCGTATTGTTCCACCTGCCAGTTGCACAACCTGTGACTTTTGCGTTGTGTAAATATCGTAACAAGGTTGCCTTGACTTTCCTGTGCAAGGACACAGGAAGGGCAAAGTTGTAACCAGCGCAGAGTAAGTAGCACACAAAAGTGTAAAATAGCGTAAAAGTAGCGTAAAAATCGCGAAGGCGCGTGTTTTTCTTTACAGTGGCCCCAGCAACGCGGAACCTCTGCGGGTGCAAGGGCTGAATTGAAAACGCTCGTCCAGCGGGAGAGGTGCGATCGGTTGAGGTCCTCCACTCCTTGATCATCCCAGTGGTGAGAATAACTCTGCGAAGAGTATAACGCGGTAACGTTGCGAAGACGTATAGGGCGCAACCAGAATATTTCACCTTCGACTTTCCCAAGCGGAACCAACCGACGTCAGAAGGAACATACACAAAATGCAGCTACCCCAGCGCGCGCGCTAGGGCGGAGAACATATGCAGACGCGGATAAGCACGCCAGCGGTAGAGCACATTGATAGGACTACACAGACGTGCACACGCGTAAGCAAGCGCACCCACAGGTGCAGATACAACTCTTCCCGCTTCTTCAATCAAATAAAAGAGCAATGCATAACGCACGACCAAAATGACGACCAATTACAGATCGCTAAAGACAGCGGTGGACTACGAATATGGGTATATGATGAAACAAGGGATCGGGGAAGAAAAGTATTGGAGAACAAAATTGGGACCAAATAACACCTCGTTGAATAACCCCCCTTCGATCAGCTCCCATGTTGAAAATGGAAATGCCAAATTGGTGGAAGCGAAAAATGTGTGTGACAGAAATGACCACAAAGGTGAGCAGTCTGAGGATGAGCTAACAGCAGCACAGAGAAGTGAGACAAATGGTGAAATTTTCTTTAAAAAAAAAAACAACTACTACAAATATAATATATTAGGGAACTCCACGAGGGAAGACAACACGATCACCCCTTTGAATGGAAAGAAGCGCCATTGGTTAGACGGACGAAATGAAAAGAGTCAACACAGTGAACAAAATTTAAAGAGGAAAAAAATAAATGAAATTATAAATAAGTATAAGAAAAACATGACATTATTACATGGTAGAACAAGTAGTGAACACTCAGTTAACTGTGACGAAGTCAATTCAAAGGAAGATGAGTGCAACTCCCATTTTGATGGTACCTACAATTTGAGGGGGGCTAATCAAGTCGACTGTATCGATGCAGATCAGGCAACTAATCTTCAGGAGGAAGGGAATCCTCGGGATGGTACAAAGAGCCAAGTATATGATAAACACAACGGTGAGAATGAGCAGTGGGATAGGTTAAGGTCTCTTCAAAAGGGACATAAAGAAATGACAGAAAGTTCAACTCAGGACATTGCTGCTTCTCGGAAAGGAGAGGGAAGTGTGAAGTGGGAAAAGGGAAGCATCTCGAAAAAAAATTCTGAGCCAACAAAAATTGGTGAACATGGCGAGCGAAATTATATGACCAGGTATCCCCTCCTTTTGGAACAACGAAAGAAGGAATACTATTATGGCAGCTCAGAAAAGTTGATAACTCTGAAAAACTACGGCATTAGTTTGGGTTATAAAGACCGTGATGGTCAAGGGGGGGACAAAAGTAATTCAAAGCTTTCATCCCTTTTGAGCGAAAGGAAAAAGGAGGAAATGGAAGGGGCAGAGCGTCCGATTAAGCTGCATGCAACAAACAGAGCAGATAATCTTTTGCCCAGTTTCAATCTCCCCAAGGTGTATTACTCCTCTGAAGGGGACAAAAAGCATAGCGCACTGGACACCCATGTGGGTTTCTCCTGCAAGGGGAGGGACTTTCAAAAGGGTAAAAGCACCGGTGACACAAGTCGGGGTGGCACCCACCTGTTGGATGATGACACCGTCTCGAATAGTTATCACGAACTCGTGGGCACAGAAAAATGCAACTCTTTAAATGTTGACAAGTCCGCCGCTATTCAGGCAAACCTAATTAAAGGCGCAACAGAAGGTACCTCGACGGGAACATTTTCCCACTTTAATAAACTGTTTAACCAGACGTCGTTCACAGATCATGAAAAAAGGATTAGGGAAAAATTCGAGCAAATCAAACAAATGGAGAAGACGATCGATTTTGAGGAGGGTGTATCGGATGAGAATGGGAAGGGAGAGGATCAGCAGAATGGAGGAAGCAAAGAATCACACCATGTGGATGAGACCCTGGGCAAAGCAGGCAACGCAACGGGGCGTACAGAAAGTGGAGAGGGGAAGACAAATGGGGAGAACAACTATAGTGAGAAATTTTCGCCACTCATGGATAAAGAAGCATCAGGGGGTACTACTAATAAAGAGCGGACATCAAAGAGGGAGACCAAGTTAAGTTACACTTTCGAAGTTGGGGAGACTAAGCCTCAAGGAAAGGAAGAAGAACATCGACCAGACGAGGGCAACAATTCGTACCTTCACCAGGATGATACAAATGAGTACTCACATGGGGAAAAAAACTTATGCAACTTCAAGGGCGGGGAGAAATACGACACGGTTGTTAAGGCAAGCCATCCTGATGAACAACACACTCATGTTGATGATAAGCCATCCCCGTGGACGGTGGAGAATAATGATATGAATCTTTCTCTTTACGATAAGATTAAATATTCTGTCTTGAGTAAAGGGGAAAAGGATTCCCAATGGAAAAAAGGAGAGGAGGTAGACATTCACCACGTGAAACCCATTTCGGATTACAGCAAAAATGGGCTTAGGATTGAACAGAATAAAAAATGGGATGACTTGAGGGAGAAATATCTGGACCTGAAAAGAAGACATGGCCTGGATTCGAATGGAGAACATAAGAAAGGAGAAGAAGGTCGTTACGCTTTGGGGAAAGAAAAGGAAAAAGGTTCCTGGGTATCGAGCCAGGACAAGGACAAACTGTGTAACTTATGGGTCGGAGGAAAAACCAGCATGGGGGAAAGTCTCCCATCAACAAATGGAGTGGTGCCCCCTTTAGTTGAATCAACCTCCCATTTGGATCAATCGCTTAGAAAAAAGGTAGAGCAAAGAAGCGAAAAAAGGACAGAAGCTGAAAAGGATAAGGTGAAAATCACCAACTCTCACATGAATACGTTAAGTAACGATAAGACAGCAGAGTATAGGAGGAATGGTTTACCAACGCGTAGCGAAGGTGCTGGAAACAGCATCGGCCATCGCAAGCGAAATTGGGCAGACGAGGTGGGGAGGTGCACAGAGAAGCATTCCAATCAGGCACTTGCAGAACGGTTGAAAAGTGGCAAAGATAAAAACTTCGTCAGTGGAGACCTCCGTAACATTTATTCACGTAGCCCAGCCCACCAGCGAAGTAGGGGAAAAAGTGGGGAAGTAGACAAGGGTTGGAAATTTTCCCCCACCAAGGTGAACAAAATGGGAAAAACACAATTTGAGGCGTTCACCACAACAGAAGGAAAGAAGAATAATTCTTCACATATCGGTGTGGCCAACGCAAAGGTTACAATCCATGATAAGGATAAAGGAGGGACATACCAAAATGAGGATAACATTTTAAAAAAGTATCATCATTTTTTGAGGAAGTCACCCTCACCGAGGAGTCCATACATAAGAGCCAATAAAGTGAACGGGTACCAAAATCAAGTGCTTCACGAAAGTGAAGAGTTAAGAGGAAAGGGAAGAAGTAATCAGCCTGTGAATAATAGCCTAAGGAGGGACAATAACCACAGTGGTGAAATTGCGCAAGTAAGAGATTTGGCAAAGAAGAAACCTCCCATGAGGAAAGGAATGTCAGGCGAGGAGTACGTGGGAAGGATAGGCAAACTAAACCCTCAGAAGAAGGACAAAATCAACGTAGGCGTAAAGACCAAAGCGAAGAATCCACTCTTCTATTCAACGAATTCCCAAACAGATATGCACAAAAAAAACATTGTTGAAACTATTTCAAATGATCTGCACGTGTCCAATATACACAGTCTGGAGGAAATAAAAAAAAAATATGAAAATGTGATTAAACGAGTGAAGGAAAATCTTTCTAGTGACAACAACTACTCGAAGATGCAAGGAGAGGGGAAAAGAACCAACTCGAATGAAAGGATAAAAGAAAATTTGGACATGATTAAGGAACACTTTAATAAAGAAAAAATGAAAATAGATGAGGAGAACAGAATGAGGCATGAAATTAACATGAGGAGGAAGATGTACGAATTAAAGATTAGGAAAGATTTTGAGGAAAAAATTAGAATTCGCAGGGAGATGAACGAGAGGAAGGTAATGGAGGAAGGTCCAAGCGGACAAAAAGAAAATGTCCGCGTGGTGCATAACCCCCCACAGGAAGACATCCATGCGGAAGAAGCGGAGAATGGCGCACTTGAGGGTCGACACGGAGGTGGAGCAAAGGGTAATGAGGTGCAATATGGGAAGGCGGCACAACGGGAGACGCAGAGAGACGCGATAAAACCAGGAAAGAGCAAACAAAAGAAAAACATCTTTGAAGATTACTCCAGCGATGGAAGCTATTACAAATACATGTACAGAAATCTTTACGAAGAGACATGGAATAACAAAACGAAAAGCCACTACCACGATGTGGGGGACAATCTGTACCTGGAAGATTGCTCAGATCATTTTTTCCTCAATGCGAAGACACACCCTTCAGTTGCCGATACCCTTTCGAACAGTTTTGACAATGAGTTGATATCACTGAGCAAAATAAAGTTTGACGATTTTGACTACAATTATTTGAACGAGATTAACAGATCTGTGTTGAAGAAAAAGGAAACCCCGCTGCGTTCACTCGGTGCAATTCAATCACACCGTTCACCTTATTCACGCGTTTCGTCGCACGGGGGAGATGAGATGGGAAGAAATCCCAATCTGTTGAAGCCGAAGGTCATATTGACCGACAGCGAAGGGAGCCCCAGAAGGAAATGCGCACAAGGGAATACACAAACGAATGGTGGAGGACATAACGAAAGTATCTTTAGCGATTCGTCTTTAATCAAAAAGCGAGAGAGGCGTGGGGGGAGAAAAGCTCCCGAATGCTTGCGCATCCCAGCGAACTCCAGTGCGTACAAACAAAACGACAGCGAGAATATTCTGAACAAGCTGCTGCTGATAAAGCGCCAGAATAGGGCGCGCGCAGGGGAGCCGCGTGAAGAGGTGGAATCATATGAGGAGGTGGAAGCAAACGAGGAGATAGAACCAGCTGGAGAGACTGAAGTAGATGAGGAACCCCTCATGGAGGAAGAAAACAAAACCGACGTGGACGAAGTCACCCTGCAGAATGACTCACCTGAAGAGGAGAATGTTCATCTCGCCAAAAAGAAACAGACACGAAACAAACCAAGCTGCAGCAATGGTAAAAACACGAGGGGAAGTAACCGCGTCCTACAGAAAAACATCAGCCCAGAGGAAGAACATTCGACGGGAATAAAAGAATCCAATTTGAGAGAGACGGATGTGGGAAAAAAAAAAAAAAAAAAAGAAAGGAAAGTAAACGAATGGAGAGATAAAAATAATCAGAAGAACCATTCGAATAGATTAGAGAAGGATCAACAAAATAAAATGCCAAATGAATCGAGCGGAAGTGACGAAAGTGAAGACGATGAAAACCATCTGAAGCGTTCTTTATCGTCATCGGATAACGGAATTCCAAAAATTAACATTCTGAACAATAGGGAGAATTATATTCCTCTAGACGTTGCTCTTAACTTTGTAATAGACAATGAGAAACTGAAAAAAACGAACGTGCAGAAGGAACATAAGGGAAGCCAAAAAAAGAAGTAAGCATAAGAAACGTGGCTTCGTTCAGTGCTATTAGTTCTGGGGGGGAGTGTGTCTCCTCGAGAAGGGCCACTCCTACCGCTAGGCGGAAGTCCGCCTTATGATGTTACCTCTTCCTCGTCGTAAACTTTTGTTGTACACCACATCATTTCCCCCCGTTTACGCCTTTCTTCCATGCAGGACCTTCGTGCAGTGGCTGATGGACGAGCGCAAGAAACGACTAAAGAACAATTTGCCCATTGATATTTGAGATGACCCCGCGGAGTTATTTTTGTGCGCCACGCTTGTGCGATTATGTAAGCGCGTAATTTTAGCGGCGGTGTGTCTACGTCAATTTTGACAAAACATGCGTCACCCAATTTGCGTAATGTGGTCGCTTCCGCGCCAACATGTTTGTGTGTAACTCCTGTGTGCTTTTCAACTGTTGTGAAGAAAAAGAAAAAAATGATAAAATAATGCAAAAACGCATTAAACTTTTTTTTTTTTTTTTTTTTTGTTTTTTAAAACCTCGTGTTTTACACGGCCCAAAGGCGGGGTCTAGAAACATGTTTGTAAACAATTTAAACAAGCGCTTGTGAATTTTGTCATTTGGACGCATGGCGTGGTGAAAGGGGCCATGGCAGGGGGGTAGTAGACGCGTGCATGTGTGCAGGGAAAAATGTAAAAAAAAAAAAAAAAAAAAAAAAAAAAAAAAAAAAAAAATATACATATATTTATATATTTACAAAATGCGAAAAATACTGAAACTGCACCAAATGAGACTTGACGCGGATGGTGCAAAAGGTAGGTCGCAACAAGACAGAGCATTGCAATGACCTCATTTTATCGTCACCTCGTTTTGAAGAGAAATAGGATTGCAATTTTGCCCCTACTTAAGAGTATGTTTATTTGTTTATTCATTTTTTTTGAATTTTTAACCGAGTGAGGAAGGAGGAAGACGCTGTTGATGGAAAACACGCGCCCCTGCTGATTAAACGCACAACGGAAAATGGTGGACAGGTGAACAATCTGCAGTGCGTGCACAGAGGAATTAGCAGCGTAGGGAATAAAAAAAAAAAAAAATTTTAAAAATAATAAATAAAGCAAAACAAAACGGAGCGATGCGAAACAGAAACACCGCGCTGCATTTGCAAGAACAGGGTCTGACCTCAAAATTGGCGAATCGCGGCGCAAACGCTACCAATTGAGAACACCTCTCAAACGAAAGCTAAATAAAAATGATATGTGTAACGTTAATCAAAGACAGCGTGCGTGACAAGTTGTCTGACTTAGGGTTAAGCGTTTTCATAGGTATGTCGTACATAAGAAACACTCGTAAAAATTTACCTACACACTCATCATATGCATCTCAACCCTACTGCGTCCTCAGGAAACTTAAAGCGAGCAAAAAAATTACTAAAGAATAATGACATAAATAGCAAATTTTTGGTGAGAACGAATAGCGGGTGTTGTGTTTTTTTATTTTGAAGTGCTCAATCGGGCATGACAGTGGCATAGAAAAAAAAAACACACATAGAGAGAACTGCGCACAGACAATGCGCATTGGGCATTTGTATACGCCTTCATAGAAATGCAAACAGAAGCGCATCCACGCGTATAATCAGTCATGCATGTACTCATTTGCTTTTATCCTAACTTCCTCAGAACAACAACAGCTTACTCCACATCTGTGCTCACAATGAAGACACGAACATGTTCCATTTCCTGCTAAGCAATGGGTGTAACTATAAGCATGTTAATGTAAGGCGGAGGGGAGGAAAATATGTCATTGGCTGCTTACCCAAACGGAATATAATTCCTGTAGAGGAGGGGGACAACACTTTTTAAAAAAACGCCAAGATCAATGGTGTGGAAATGCACACTAGGGTTAAGAAGATGGTTGAAACAATTCCCCCTCCTATTTTACAGTATGACATGGAGTGCTTGTCTCCTTTCCTTGTTCCTTTGTTCATTTTTCTTCATTTATTTATTTTTTGTTTTTTTGTACTCATTTTGAACTTATTTCCGCCCTGTACCCTTTTTCAGGAAAACGGAGACTCCTGCCTGCACATCATCGCGCTAAATAACAACGTCTACTGCCTGGATATCCTCTGTCGGAACAGCATCAAGGAGATCATTGACTTAAAGAATAAGGTACGTGTACAATAGGTCCTATTAAAGAGGGCCATGTCTTTTAAAAATTACCAAAAAGATACACTTAAAAAAATAATGTTTATACTCCTCTACATGCGTCTAAATGTCAGGAAGGAGATACGGCTTTACACATTGCTATAAAAAATGGGTTTCCGGAATTTTTCACCCTACTCATAAAATATGGCGCAAACGCGAGCGTAAAAGACGACGTAAGTGGTGCCTTCGTTTTGGCCGTTTTGTCCCCCGTGCGGGAGAAGAGACCATGAAAAGAGTTCCCCCTCTTCAGTCCTTTTGCCCATTTTTGTTGAAATTAGCTCCTCCGACGGGGCCACCGCGAAAAGAGTTTATTCATTGCGTTTTTGTTTTCCCTTTCCTTTTCTTTTTTTTTTGGCAATTTGGCTCCATGAATTGGTGCTTTATGTCTATTCCCCACATTTTACCTCTTTATTCCTGCCCCCCCTGTTTTGCCAGTTTGACATGGACGCCTACGAATTGTTGGACCTCTACAGGAAGAAGGAAAAATTTTACGATTGCAATTCGAGCACATATGCGGACATGTTTAATTTTTTAATATCCACGAGGAAGGAGCGTTAGAGAAGTTTTTTTTGAATTTTTTTAATTTTCTGTTTTTTGTCGTCCGTTTTTTTTTTGCCCTGTTTATGTGAACAGTATGTATAGACGCGCTCTGCGCACATATATTCGCATGCTTTTTTAAAACGTGAAATTGTAAATTATGAATAAAAGCAAAGGAGTTATATCTATGTTAGTGATTTTTTGGGGGAGCTGTACAAAGGGAGACGCTGTTAGCGGGGTTGTTAGTTGCTCTGGCGGCATTCCCAACCCCGCAGCAACTCTTCCGCAAACGTGTTTTAGTCGCAAGTGTTGATGACACATTTTAAGCCCATTTTTAAGCATACTTTTTAAACCCTTTTCCAACCTGTGTTTGTGCCCCCCCTTGCTGCTTCTCCCATTTCGCGTGCCCCATTACATACATACAGTGAACAAACACACTCCCCCCTCGACCCTTTTTTTTTTTTTTTGAAGTATTTTTAAAAAATACAATTTGAAACACATCCCCCCCCGTCACATGATGTAGTTACTCGGAAAAAATGACTTCCTGAGACCCAGCGCACTTACCCAACCTCTGTGCTTGGGTGTTCCCTCATTTTCTCTGTTTTCCCATGAACATTTTATAATGTTAAGTAATTTTTTTTTTTTCGTCTTGGCACATGTGTGTATATTTTCCCTGAGGAATAGCAATTACGTCTGCTGCTTTTACACCCCCAAGGTGTGCTGTACAAAATTCTTTTACTTGAAGGAGTCCAATGATGTGTCGAGTTCCTCCGAGGGGCGCGAACGGTACATGCAGGTATGCCGAGTGGAGCGCGCCACGTAAAGGTTATGCTGTGGTGTTAGAAGCGTTGGCTGGATGGTAAAGCTGCTAAAACTAGAGAGAAGCGTCCATGACTGCCTAACTTGTTCCCATGGACACGCACAGCCACGTCGCCGAATACAGAACGCAAACACTCGAGAGAAATAAAAAACCAAAAAACTCCACTTTTTACAATTAAGGAAAAGAAAATGAAGCAGCTGAGGCTCAAGGCGGAAAACAAGGTCGTCAAGCAGTTGCGAATAACACCGAGGTAATGGGCAAAGCGAATTGTCCATTAATACATGTGTCCATCCGTGTCTATGTGTACCTTATCTCTTATGGCTGTGTTCTCCCGTGGCCCCTCTCCCGCGCTAGCACTCATGTGCGTGCACCTCAACACCTTCTTGGTAGAATTGGGGACAACGATTTGCTTATAAAGATAAATTCAGCGAAGCAATTTCTGCTCAGAAGACACAGGGTAAACGGATCTTTCACACAGTTGTGTGTGGAAAAAAAAATGTACCAGCATACGTATGATGATACAAATTTTACTTGTGGGTTGACAGTAGACTCCGCAAAAAAAAAAACCCACAATATTTTCCCCCTTAGGTAAAATTTATTTTGACACTGAAGGGAAGAGAATATACCAATGTTGAAAATGTAAAAAGAATTTTCGCAAAAATTTCCGAAGAATTAAAAAGTTACGGCAACTCGGAGACCATGCGGCAGAACGGAAATGTGGTATCTCAATTGTTTAATTTGAAGGCTAAGAGGAAAAATGACAGCTCACTCGGGGGGGCAGGAGGCGTTAAATAGGGGCGCACATGTGTGTCTGAAAAGCAGCAAACGGCTACAACAATTTGATCATCTATAGGTAACGTTTTTTCCCTTTTTTTTTTTTTTTTTTTTTTTGTGTACAATCAGCATTTGTGCTCCCCCGCCAATTTTAAATGCGAGTTTATGTGCATGGGGTGGGGACAACAACCTTTTTGGTCTTTCCTCAATTTTGTTCAATTTGCTTGTGGGTTTTTCCCGCCCAGCTTGGAACAAGTCGTATTTGTGAGCGTGCGCCATGGATACTTGGCATGACGTTGACGGCAATTGAAAGGGAGTTTTAAAAGTTTGTTGTGGCTGTCCGCTTGTTGCAGCTCACGATTTGTTGCGCTTCCCTCTTTCGTGGAGCACTATTAACTAAAAAAATTAAAAAAAAAAAACATTACAGCGGGGGTTTCCCGTGTTCAGAAAAATCCCCTGTCTATTTGGCTGCGCCCTTGCACACACATTCGCATGAAGAGATGAGGTGCATGATTGGAGGGTGAGCTGGGGAGCGTATATCTGCTGGACAAATGTTGACGAACTATAATGTACGATGTGTGTCCCTTCACATGGAGTAAAAGTAAACTTCTTTTCTTTTTACACTCAAACATGTGTACAAGTATCAAACCCACACAAATGAACGCCCATTGAGGGGGGAACAAATGTGAACAAATTGCATGTCTCGAGTTTCCTCTTCTTCCTTTTTTTCTTTTATTTTTTTTGCGCCGTTCAATAATCTGATAAATCGTTTGTCATTGCTCCACAACATTTTTTAAATTTCTTGTTGGACCCACATGTGCACAATTTGTTGTTATACTTGGAAGACCCCTTGACATAAAATCTGTGTTTATTAACGTCATCGTATCGAACAAAATTATCATCACTGTCGTCATTCTTAACCATCCTGTTCCGCAACTCTGTCTCAATTTGGTTCATTCTTAAATCACCAATGAGGTATTTTCTTCCCTTGTTGAATATGGAGTACGCACTTACGCCGTTTCTCCCCTTATCACCGTCATCGCTCGTGTGGTCAAGGTTTAAAAAAATAATAATAATCAGAACAAGGATCACGTACACTACGCCAAATATGTGGTAGAACAAGTAACATGAACATAATAAAATGGTGGATGTAATTTTCGGGTGGGAGTACACTATGCTGCTGCCATTCTTCTTCTTGGCGCTCTTTTTTTTCTTCGACATGTCTTCTCACGTACCCGCGTAAATGAAAGGTTGCTTGTGGGCTGTTCGTACAAAGTGGAAATGCGAGGCAAATGTGAAGCAAATAAGGGGAAAAAACCATATATGCAACTTCTTTTCCGATACTTCTCTTCATCAAATTAGCTATCCTTAAAAACAGGTTAAGGGGGAGGGGACCTCCTTTCGCTTTCCTTACTCCTTGTGCATTTTTGAATTTAACTCACTTGGGGTGTCAACTGGCAAGGAAGTCAAAATGAAATAAACAAAATGTAAACAGGAGGTACAGCGACCACAAGGTGCTAAAGGAGACTGTTGAAATGTGAAATTAATCTGTGGGGCGCGGCGTCCCCCTTTTAGTGCCTCACATTTTTGCCATTATAGCGCTTCCCGCCATTAGGATGCTATTAAAAAGGGGTGCATTCACCGGGCTCCATGTGGTGTATACACTTACAAGCGCGTATGCGGGGAGAGGGCGAAAGGATACACAAAATTGGTGCGTTCGATGGTTTCCTTTTTTGTACACTTTTTTGGCCGATCAACAGTTCCCTCGTTTGCGTGTTGTGTTGTGTTGTGTTGTGTTTTTTTTTTTTTTTTTTTTTTTCTAGCTCCTCAAACAGATGAGCAGCATCATTACGTAAACACCTTTTCCTCTCACCCGTGTTGAACTGTTCCTTTTTATCTTCAAGTTTCGAACGATCGAGTGTTACGCCGCCCACAACTACATTCCTTATTTTGTGGCCATCCACACGCAGCGCTAAAATGGCAAACAAAGTGCTGGAGGATAAACAGAAGAAAAAAGGTAACACCACATTTTGCACGTCCCCGTCAGTGCGCGTCAAATATGTGTAGAAACGGGGGGGGGAAAAAAAGCAGAGGCATAATTGGCGGGGACAAGCGCATGGGAAGAATCCCCCCACCTCACGACACCCCATATTGGCGGCACCTGGGTGAAATATGTGGACCCATATGTGTATAGCCCCTAAGTAGGCGTTAACTTATGTTGCCTCCCTTTCCCTTTTCCCTTCAGGATTTTGTAGACGACTCTGCGGCGGGGCTTATTACGCCCTTAAGGGTCCAAGCATAACCCACAGCGTCCTGTTTGGAATATGTGGAGGTACTATATGAGCACTCACTCTATGTGTACAGTGCACCAGTCATTCGCAAAAGAAACGTTTTGTGAAGCTGCCCCATACAATGTGTTATATCACTCCCCCTTTTCGTAGGCCTCATATACTACGGCGCCTACTACGGCTACAGGTATCTTAAAATCTCCTTTTTTGATACTACGCATGTGTCCAACGAAAGCAGAAGAAGATTTATGGAAAAGCAAATGTTGTTTTATAACGACATGGGTTACAACTTGTCCATGAAGTACATCGGTAAGGGGGTGTGCCCACACACGGGGGGGAGGTGGACCCGCAGAGTAGGAATACTCCAAAGAAATACGAGCACGTAGGTAACCCTACATAAACAATTGCGAACATGTGCCTTTTATATTTTATATTTTTCACTCTCCCCTTTTAGGAAATTTATGTAAATATTATGACCCTGTTGCGCTGAGACTTCCCTTTCAACCACTGTAATTAGAAAGAGAAAACAAAAAAAAAAGAGAGAGAATACCATTTACCGTCCATTTTGCCTTCCCATGGAAGTTGCTCCACCAGTACACCATGACATGGGTCACGCGGAGGGACACCCGCATAGCAACTGTGCAGTGCTATATGTGTTATGATTGCATGGCTAAAACCCATATGTTTTGTCCCCTTCTTTGCTCCAATTTGCAGCGATGACAAGTATAGGCTTTAGTTTTGCGAAGATACGCTACGGTTTATAGTCCTCATCATATGAAGGGTCACGAGCATGAGTACAGTGCGTGTTTTTTTTTTTTTTTTTTGTTTAAAATGTGTATAAAAATATGGACACCCTTCTGTCCTGACAGTGTTGAAGGAGTATAATTGCCATTTTGCGTGCTCCTTTTTTGCGCTATAAAAATGGATAATCAGTGTGCCCACTACATTTTCAGTACCGTTTTAATGGAGCCAATGAAACGCAGTTGTATATATATGCCAAGTTGGTAATGTTTTGTGCATACGATCTGAGCATTCGTGCAGAAGAAACACATCACCGCCTCGCGTTGTTAGCGTACCATCGAGGGGATTGTCCTTACCGTCTTGGGGAACGCTTTTACGAAGGCTCCCTCGATGATGTTATTTGTTTTATCTCGGGAAATTCAGCCCGTGACATGCTTTGCATTTTCGTGTCCTGAATGTATTTTGCATCCCCTGTGCGCGCCATAGTTTCATGTAAAAAGTGGCCCCCAAGAAAAAAAAAAAAAAAAAAGGCATAAATTGCAACGTAGTTATAAGTTCCAAAGTGGTAACGTTTTTCTTTCCACCATCCGGTGTGATTGAATTTTTTTCTTTTTTTTTTGGCCCACTTTTGGGACCTCTCAAAAAAAACGACGTAAAAAAAGCATAACCAAAGGTTCAGTGCGAAATTAGCACCGTAAAATGGAAAAAGGACAAGGTGAAACAAAGCGAAAAATAAATGGAAAAGAAAAAAAAAATGAAATGCAATATATCAATAAAAATAAACGCGAAAAGGGTGTTCTTCCAGCGGTCCATCAATCTGAATTTTTGTCCGCCCCCTTTTAATATTTGTTAATACATTCCTTACGACGTGGATTAAATCAAGCGTCAAGATGAAGGGTAGGTAACGGTGCCTATAAAAATGTCGCTCCCACAAAAAAGGAAAAAAAATAAATAGAAAAAAAAAAAAACATAACATAAAATAAAATAACACATGCGTATCTCTTTTTATACGCATATAATATCTCACCTGTTTGGGAGAGCGGGTTTTCAAGTACGCGGAAATGTATAAGCTGTTGTAGTACCCGCAAAACGTGTACCCATCAAATATGTAAAAAGATACGCATCCAATAAGGTTGAAGCAGAATAGTGTTATACCGCGGCGTACGTACCCACCGATGCCTGGTACGAACCACGTGCCATCAGGAGCAACTTATGCAACTGACCCAGTATAACGCGACATTTTCAGTAGATTCCTCGCTTACGCAGCTTGCTCTGTTATGCGAACGGTAAAAGCGTGAGGGGAAAAAAAAAAAAAAAAAAAATGAGCAACACTGGGGAAGTAGGAAACCCTCCAGATGAGGTTGAAGTGGGGGGAAGTGAAAACGTATCAAAGGCAAAACAACAAGATGAGGAAACGCTTTCAAGTGACGACAAAAGCTCTAGCAGTGATGAAGACCATGACGGTTTATTACTCACTTCCAAATTTAAAAAAAAGTTCAGCGATTTGTTACTCAAGTTAAAAAGTAAAGATTCGAACTTGCTGTCCAAGGAGGGAGATTTTTTTTTCCACGACAGTGATTTTGAGACAGAAGTGTCTGACGACGGGGAGGGCGACGAAAGGGGAAAAGATGACCAAGTTGGTGAAAGCGCTGCAAAAGAAGGCAACCTGAACTATGCGGAATACTTCAAAGACATACTAATGAAGGATGGGTCACATGCCATTGACCAGGAGGAAGAAGAACTGATCGAGAAGGAAAAGGAAGCATGCTCGAAAGAAAACAAAAAGAGCTACATAAACGAACAGGAGGAATTAAAAAAGAAAATTTTAGAAGCATGCAAAATTGCAGATGAAGAAAACGAAAATGAAGGTGATGATGAAAATTTTTTCACTATAAAGGAAAAATCAGAAAAGGAAATTTTGGAGGAGAAAGCATATTATGAAAATTTTTTAAAGACATCCAAAATTGTCAAGGAAGAGGATGGGCTGTTAAAGGAATACTGGAATGACAATTTAAATAAAGATGAAGAATTTTTAAGGGACTATATTTTGAAAGAATTGTGGAGGGAAGACAAAATACACAACGTTTATGAAGACATTGATGAAGTTGATGATGAAGATTTGGACAAGGCTGCTAAGTTTGAAAAGACGTACAATTTTCGATATGAAGAACAGAATGGAAATATTATAAATTCCAACCCGCGCCATATACAGAGCAGCGTGAGGATTGATTTAAGGAAGGAAAAGAGGAGGGAAAAGCGGAGAGAAAAGAGGAAGAGACAGAGGGAAAAGAAGCGGAAGAAGCTTACGGAGGATTTGAAAGAGGGGGACAGCAAAGGGGGCGGGAAAAAGAAAAGAAAACTGGACCAAAATAGGACAAACAATAAAGAGGAGGACCCCCATAATAATGACAACAACAACCTTGTTAGTGGCGAGTGTGGAGGAGACGAGGAGGAAAGCACCACTGCCAACACGTCCTTACCAAAGGAGAAAAAAAAAAAAAAAAAAAAAAAGGCAACTGATGAACATTCCGGTACAGGGGAAAATTCAAACGACCTGTGGTTTTTATGCGACGAATGCAATGTGCCCATAAGCCCCCTCAGTTATGTGTATGAATGCACCTTTTGCGACAACTTTGCCGTGTGTAAACCTTGTTTTAAAAAAATAACACATGAGCATGATTTGAAAAAGCTGGTAGTACCTGCGCATTGCGCACCTCCAAAGGATTACCTAAAAGGGAATGCTCCTGACAAGGGTGGATCCAAAGGTAACCACCATGACGGTGTGAAGAAGAAGTCTAGCGAGTTGGAATACCTAGAGAACGACTCGAGTGCTTATGAAGACCTAATTGATGACATGCCCATTCGATTCAAATACTTCAAAGTGAAGCCAGAAAATTTTAAACTCACCACTGATTATATTTTAAAAACGGACGACGAAACATTGAATCAGATTGTCCCCCTACATTATGTATCCCCCTACATCAAGCACGGCACAAAGGCTAAACTTCGGGGCTTGAGTGGACAAAAAGGCGATAGCCAGGAAAAGAAGAGATCGAAATTTAAAGGGAAGACTGCGGCACACAATGAGCAGGGCGATTAAGGGAGTATATCCCAACCGGTGTTATCATGGCATATTATGGAAACGCCTTTATGTTACGCACCACTTCAGGGTAATATCACCCAATGAACCACACGCATAATGGTGTAAAAAAAAAAAAAAAAAGTTTAAAGGTTTACAAAAAAAAAAACTCCCGGCAGGGGGAAGTGTGTTTAAAGGTGCACAGAAGTGGACACCTGATTAGTAAAAACATATCAAATTTGTAAAGCGCATGTTGTGTGCACGTGAGAACACGTGTTGCAAGCGCACATAGCCCTTTTTGTAAGGGCAAAAGAAACAGGTGAAAAAAAAAAACTGTTTCGTACTTTAAAAAATGTTTTTATGTGTGCAGTATGCAGGAGTCTATAAATTAGCATATGCCTGCACACGCCAGGGGAATTTGTCCCTGTTTTTTATTTTTTTACTTTTCAGCAGTTTATACTTTTAAAAGTATAATTTTTTTTTAATTGTTTATTGGAAGTCATCTCTTGGGGGCGAGGTGTCTTCTATATACTTCTTTGTGCATTGAATTATTATATATGTTTATTTACCTATATGCCCATCCCATGTTCTTTTTTTTCCCGATTTGTTGCATTCTAGGAGAGGCATCTGTGTCTCTTTCCCCCCTCCAACTGAATCATCTCGAGAGGGGGTTACCCAACATTTTAAAATTCCCATTAAGTATATTGCGGCGACACTGCGCATAAGCCTTTCTCAAAATGATGCAGTTTTCGTCCACCTCGTTCAAGTCATGGTTGTGTAGGCATTCTTCGAAGGTAGCGTTTTCCCGCTTATAACAAATTGTGTTTTGGTAACATGCGATCATATCACTTAGTATTTTCTTGCACGAGTTCGATGCCTTCCGGTGTGGGGTATCTGCTTTTACGTCAAGCATGTTGTTGAGGAGTGGCGGGAGGTTATGAAAAAAAAAAAAAAAAGAATCAAAATGGAAAATGTGTATATACCCTCTGACGTTACATCAACCCGTTCTTCATCTTCATTCCAGTAGTCCAACACGTCTTTTTCTGCGACACCAGGTGTAGCCTTTTGTTCAGGAGGGTAATGTTAACATTTCGTGATTGAACAGAGTGGATGTGCAAGTAAATACACAACTACATTCATATGCCCTTTTTTTTTTTTTTTTTTTTTTTTAAAATGTGTAT